AGTGCTGCGTAAGTTGTACATGTGTAGTGTCCTCTACACCCATCTGTCTAGACTCTATGCTATCTCTGTTTATTGCTTCCAGAGAACTGATCAACCCTATTCTGTTTGTCCTGCAACTGTACATAAACACAGTCTCCTACATAGTCAGTAGAAGTGGTGAGGACTTTTGAACTTAACACCTGTAATTACAATAACTCTTCTCATTCTTGTAACAAACACAGAGGCTATGTCCACATTGGCGGGTTGTTGCGCCAGAAGAATGCAAATGAGGCTAAGCGTGGAATATCGCCGAGCCTCATTTGCATACCTAATGAGCTGTCATTTTTGCAGAAGAGGCTCTTGTGCCAGAAGGAGCTGTCTACACTGCCCCTTCTTGCGCAAGAAAAACCCTCTTGCGCAATGCCATTATTCCGGAAAATAATCAGCGTAGCAGCATTGCGCAAGAGGGTTTTTCTTACACAAAAGGGGCAGTGTAGACTGCTCCTTCTGGCACAAGAGCCTCTTCTGCAAAAATGGTATGCAAATGAGGCTCGGAAATATTCCACGCTTAGCTTCATTTGCATACTTCTGGCGCAACAACCTGCCAGTGTAGACTTAGCCAGAGTCTTCAGTTCAGTAGTGTTTTAACTACAGCTAACTCTTGCATTGAATTATTAAATTCTTCTCTTCCTATAGGCTTATTCCTGTGCCAATGGTAGGTTTCAAAGAGCTGCTGAGACGGTTAAAGGTCCAAGATCAGATGACTAAGCAGCATCAGACCAGATTAGATGTAAGTGTTATCATCTTGATACTGATCCTTTTGAAGATATTTGCAGACAATAGATTTAGTGCTTGAAAAGTGTGACTCTCTTGTGGCCTTATAAACCCTGACTTCACCAGCTTCGTATCATCTGCAAACTTAATGAGCATACTCTGTGCCAGGGCAGGGGAGATTGTCAAGCAAAAAAAATCAGCCTGCCCCGTAAAACCCTGGCAGCTCCTTGAAAATGGCTCGTGGGGGCCTGCAAAGCACTGTTTAGGAAACACTGCTCTGCCAATATCTAAATAGTTGATGAAGATATTGAACAGAACTGGTCCCAAAACACCCCTGCGGAGCCCCACTTGTTATGCCCTTCCAGCATGATTGTAAACTGTTAACCATTCTCAAAGAGTAGTTATTATCTAGCCAGTTATGCACCCATCTTCTAGTAGCCCCATCTAAGTTGTATTTGCCTAGTTTATTGATAGGCAGGTGATGCGAGACTATCAAAAGCCTTACTAAAGTCTAGGTATTCCACGTCCACCACTTCTCCCTTATCCACAAGACTCGTTATCCTATCAAAGGAAGCTATCAGATTGGTTTGGCATGATTTGTTGTTTACAAATCCATGCTCTTGCGTATGATCAATAGATACTTCACACCATGCTACCTGTTGGAGCTGAAGGGTTATAAAATAGTACCTATGCTTCTGGTTAATAAACAGCTAGTCTCTGTTTCGTATGAATATCTTTTCTCTAATCTGCTCCCTTGAAAGAGAAAATTGACAGTTTTGGGGCTATGATAGAGTCTAAAATTCCCATTTTTTTTTAGTTTGGGCATTTTCAAAAGTCTCCAAATTAGGCTCCTCACTCCTCCTGATTTCCGATGAATGGAGGTGCTTTAATATCTTCTGTAGGTCTCCTGAAAGTTCTAGCCTTAGCACCTGACAGAGCCTCAGTTTAGGGTGTCTGCATTAGACATGGATTCCCCTGGTGCTGTAACTGCCTGATGAAAGCAGATAATTTGACTTTGAGGGGACACAAGTAAGCAGAGAATGGGTTAATGCAGGGGTAGGGAACCTTTTTTCGGGTGGGGAGCCAGCGACCCATAGAAAAATCAGTTGGGGCAGCACACAAGTGAGAGAAAAAACAAAACCAACCCTTGCTGACATGACCCCGACTGAGGGGTGAGACACTTCCCACATTCCCCTCACACACCAGAGCCTCGGGGGGCCCAGGCTAGTAGTTCGTGTGCTCCAGCCCTGTGGGGGAACAGGAGGGAGCTGGGGAGTCAGTGCAGGCTCCCCAATACTGAGAGCCACGCAGGCCAGATCCAGGCAAGCCAGAGGCCACGTTCCAGCCCCTGGGCCTTAGGTTCCCCACCCCTGGGTTAAAGGTACTGACAGAATAAGGCCTCCTCAGTTATCTAAATATCCTGAGAAGGAGGAACAGAAACCTTTCAGTTAGTTACATACAAAACAAAAACAGCATGATGGTGAGTGCATAGATGGGCTGCAACAGCCCCACTCATTAAACAAAGGGGGCATTTTGTCATTTTTACATGAACCTTTTTGCAGATGTTTTCAAATATGGCCCCTTTCCATTAGGATTGATCATTCTTTTGAAACTAAGGGTGTGAAAAATGAATTCTAGGACAGTCCTTTTACAAGCAGGAAAATCTTTTGTTTTTGAAAAGAATTTAAATTTGTGGATAACTTCCAGCTACAATGCTTTTCTTTCAGATAATATCAGAAGATATTAGTGAGCTGCAGAAAAATCAGACCACTACTATGGCAAAAATAGCACAGTACAAGAGGAAATTAATGGATCTTTCTCACAGAACCTTACAGGTAACAGTGGCATGCATTAGATGGTTTGACCCAATGTGAATTCCAGGCAGCTGATTCGGCTTAATTTTTCTTTTAACAGCTCGACTTCCCCTTCCTGTTACTACTTTTCACTTTATATGAAAGTCTCCCTCTCCTGAAGATTCATAGACTTGACAGAAAAGCTGCTTAATTTCATGGAAAGTTGTCCTGTTGGAATGAGTCAGGTTTTGTTAACCCAATTTTAAGTAGTTTCAGACCCTGAAGCGGCCCTGACTCATAGCAATTCTTGGCTCTTTATCAATTCCTTTCGCTACTGAAACAGATTACACAGTGCTGCCTGAAGCACAAATGTAATCTGAAATTACACTGTTTTTACACTCCCAAGAGGTATGGTTAAGATGATAATGGCTTGCTGGTTTATTGGATTTATTATTTTGTTTGTTTGGTTAACTAGCTCCTACCGATTTCTGACAGAAGGAAGCTTTGAAATGCCAATCTCAGTTTGAGTAAAGTGGACAATCATCTGTTTTGCATTTTCTTTAATATCTGTAACTTGCTTTAAGATCTGGCAGATAAATTGTAAACTCTTTACGGCAGAGAAACTAAGACCATACAGGGCAAGAACCATGACCACAGCTGAGGGATGGGGCTTGAAGAAGGTGTCTGGGGTATGAGGACAAAGGGGGAGAACTTCACATTTGTGGGGCATCAGAATAGAAGATGGAATCTGACTGCAGAAAGCACCAGAAAGGGAGCAAGAAAGGGAAAATAGAAACAGCTGTAGATGCAGGTATGGGAAGGGAAATGTGGCAAATATCTTCCTTGTATCTAACATGCCACAAGTGAAGATGACGACTCTGGTTTTAAACCCCATCAACAAGTGTACAGGTACAACAGCACAACTCTGCTTTTGTATTTTACTTACAGCATAGAAATTGACACTGAGCATGCAAGTGACACAAGGTGGGTAGGGTAATATCTTAGGACTTGTGATGGTCCACTAAAAGGATATTGCTTCACCCACTTTCTCTCCAGTAGCCTGGGAGTGACATAGCTACAACACTGCATACACCATACAAGGCAGCCTTTAGATACCACTCTTCTGTTAGCCATCTGCAGAAAAACGTTTGCATTTATGCACATAGAACAAGCCCATAGTCATTCCAAAGCTCACAACTTCAGTGGTTCCGTTTTCAGGTGTTAATTAAACAAGAGATCCAAAGGAAAAGTGGCTATGCCATTCAGGCTGATGAGGAGCAACTTCGGGTACAATTAGATACAATTCAGTGTGAACTCAATGCACCTACTCAGTTCAAGGTAAGTGAATTATAAAATCTTGCAACAGAAAATGGGGTCTTGGTCTCCTTAAAGCTGTAAACTAACATTCCCCAAAGCAGGGCTACTCCTATTTGTACTACATGCTCTTTCATAGGAAGAATATTGACATTTTCCTTGTTGATTGGAGGTAGAAGACTTGCATGTTCTAAACCCAATCGTTGGGGAGAGGAGGGAGAGAAGGACTTAAGTTCAAACTACAATGTTATGTAGTATTAGACTGTTCTACTGTACTTCTCAGCTTCACTTTAAGGGGGAGGAATGAGATAACATCTTAAAACAAGATAGTATCTTTCTCTCTCAGGCCTCTGGATGTCAGGGGAAACCTACTTTTCTGTCCTCATACAAGTGACTCCCATCTATTTTCAGGGTCGACTAAATGAATTGATGTCTCAGATTAGGATGCAAAATCACTTTGGAGCAGTTAGGGCTGAAGAGAAGTACTACATCGATGCAGACCTGTTACGAGAAATCAGACAAGTAAGTATACCTTGTGGAGACCTGCATGCAGAATTCTAGGGGCTGTTTGTTTGGATGGTGCATAGCCTAGAAGTAAAAACTGTTCTTGTGAGAACTCAGTCATGTTTTCAGTAAGTTCACAGCCCTTCTGACATGACTTTTTAAAAAATGAGAATGTAATCAACTTGGCAAAAGTATTGTAGGTTAGCTTGCAAAGTTACAGTTATTATAGTAACTTAGTAAGGGGATTTTAGAGAGGTTCTAAATTCAATAAACCTATTATGATCTTTTATTCAAGTAGGAGACTGAGCTATAGTTGTGTGATAAATGCTGCAGCTGAAGTTCTTTCTTTAATTATTCTAGCATTTGAAGCAGCAACAAGAAGGCCTGAGTCATTTGATTAGCATAATAAAAGATGACCTGGAAGATATAAAACTAATAGAACATGGATTGAATGAGAGCATCCCCATCAGAGGAGGAGTCTTCAGTTGACTTGTCATAACCCATTGTTAGTGTATCAAATGTATTATTGTGGTTCAGGGTTCACTTCCAAAAGCTGAAACTGACCAGGTTAAAAAATGCAAATCTTAGTATAGGCTTCTCGGAAATTTGGTATTGGCTATAATCTTTTGGACGAGCAAAGCCTCTTCCATGATTTTCAAACTTGATGACCTTTGGAAGGTTTAAACTTACGAAGCTGTACATGCTTTAAAAAAAAGACTGAATCTGTTCAGATACTGTTCTACTATACAAGTTATGTACTATTGTACATTTTTACAACAGCATTGTTCTTCCATGCAATGCTAAGGGAATCTTTCAAGTTTATTTTTTTTTTTTTTGCAGTGAGTAAAAACATGAAGGAATCTATATGACAAAATTATGCACACAAATAACTAGGCTGTTGCAAACTTGTACTTCACACTATAAATGTGTTTTTCAGATTATCTGCTAGGGGAAGTTGTGGATTTAGTGTCATTGGTGTAATGTGACTTTTTGGAGGGCAAGGCTATATTTTTATATCATTTTGCTTATTTAGAAAATAGAATAAAATGTCTACTTTAAACACCGTCCTTTATCTTGTTGCCTTTTTTATTTCTCAACACTTAAATTGCCAAGAATGATCAATACTATATATAACTTATCAAATACTGTTCTAGAAAAAATGTCAGGCACCCTAAGGTGACACTTTGGTGGCAGCTTTTGCTTGATTTCTTCTCCTGAATTATATTAGCACTACACTAGATACCATAACATTTACTTCATGTGCTGTGAAAATTCCTTAGTGAATGCAAAATTTTACCACGAATTTGCAATGAACAAATGGTATATTCAACTGAGATACTATATTTGGGGAAGAAGATTGGGTAAGAGATCCCTTATTTTGTTGCAACAGTCATCTGGTTATGTAAAAAAATTGACGCTGCATCAGTGGTGATGGGGTCATGAGCCAGAAGTTGGAAGCTAAACCCATTCAGACTAGAAATAAGAAACATAGTTTAGCAGGGTGATGAACCCACTGAAAGTAGGAGTGTCTGATCCTAGAGATGTGGCAGGTTCTCCAGGAATTGAAGTATTTAAAGCAAGACTGGATTTAAAAAAGGGGGGGGGGGGGAGAAAGAGGGCTTCCTGCAAAAGTTAGTGCAAAGTTCCATGGCCTGATTTTATTTAAGTCGTCATAATAGCTCATTAATGCTTACTTTGGACCTTTAAGTCTATTTATTCACATACAAATCTAAAAACTCTGTAGGCTCTTGCTTTTAGACACTAACAACTTCAGTTACTGCAAATGTTCCCAAAGAATTCCACTACAGTGTAACCTTGCTGAGTGTCAGGAAGATCCAAGAGTTTAGAATAAATAATTTGACAAATTTCCTTCCATTTCCTTTTAAAGTTCAACTTACCTACTGGGCCAGTGATAGTTCCCAAGTTGAACACTGCTGCTTCCTGGGGCAGTAACAGCTGCCATAGAGATGTCTAAAACATAGTTACTCAGTTCCTCTTCCCTACAAGTCTTCATAGCTAGAGGTGTGTTCTGCAGTTGGGAAGGGGTGTGGCTTGGGTTGACAGTCCAAGGCATTGCAAGTGGCAGTTCAGACGCTCTTACTAGCTGCTATCTCTGCTGTGTGGGGTTGGTGGGAGTTCTGCTGCTTTATCATCGCCATGCGATCGCTCAATGAGGCGGAAGGCCTCCAGGAACTCATTGAAATCTATGTTTCCATCCTTGTTGAAATCGATGCTGCAGACCAGGTCACTGATGCCTTCATCTGTGAGCTCAATGTTCATATGGGAGCTGAACAGCTTCCACGTCTGGCGGAATTCTTCAAATGAAATGAGGCCTGCAGGGAAGAAACTTGCCAATTCAGTTGAAGAGGTAGCACAAGGCCACAGGGAGCCTGCCCCTTCAGCCGCACTGCACAGGAGCCACCTTCTGTTCCTGGCTCAGGCTCACTTGGACACTGAGGAAGTCAGTTAATGCATCGTTTCCCATCTATACACTGGTGACAACTCCATCCCTCAGATAAGGCTAAATTAATCCATGTTTAGCTAGTGCTAGAAAAGTATTGTTATACCTACTAATGCAAAGAATAAGCCAAAATGAAGCAAAAGCTTAATGCACTGTGGCAGGAAAGGAGTTCCAAACAGCTGAGAGGTACTATGAGTCAGGGGAGAACATACAGTATATCAAAATCAATCTAAAAGGCTCTTTTGTTTACTGTTGGGTTGGGGGTGGCCAGACCTAAGAGAACAGGTATTGAGCAGAAGTTTGAATTAATAATGATGCTGGTTAATTGTTCGCTACCCCCATAGCCTCAAATAATTACACAGACCATATCTTTTTATAGTGAAAGTATCCAGGATAATTTCATATTACTCTGACTTTCCATCTGCTCTCAGTGCATTACAAACATTTGTTGAATTAAGTTTCTAAAAACCCTGTCAGGGAATCTCCTCATTTTACAGATGGGAAACGGAGGCACAGACAGTTTGAAGGGCTTGATCCTACCCTTCTGAAATCACTGACAAAATTGCCATTGTCTGTAATGGTGCACAACTGGAACTTAAGTAATTGCCCAGTTACAGGAGGTAGCTATCAGCACAACTGGGGTTTTGTTCCTGAGTCTCAACAGGGCACCGTAACCGCAAAGTCATCATCATGGGTTGTATTCCCGTTGCACCAAGGTCCTGCAAAAGTCCATTTTCACAACACAAAGTGATTTGCCCACAACTAAACTAGACATCCTCAGCTGAGCCACCAAAGATCATACTGGTTCCTAAGACCCTGTTCTAACCACTGAGAAAAATGGGGGGGGGTGTAAAGGTAAAATATAGGGTGGGGGAGTGAGTCAAAACTCATCCTTACCTGAATGATCACTATCTATGATCCTGAATATGGTCTCCAGGTTGGAGCGGTTTCGATAAATAGTTTCTAGTAAGCTTGACTGTATATGCTGGAAGATAAAAAACATTTTGTTTTACATTAAAACATTCTAACAAGAGCCAGCAATGCCCCTCTGCCATGCATATTGGCCAAACTGCACAGTCTCTACGACAAAGGATGAATGAACACAAATCAGATATTTGAAATGGTAACACACAGAAACCCGTTGAGTAATCTTTTAACTTGCCCAGGCACTCCATGGATCTAGAAGTGACTGTACTATTACAAAGCAAGTTCAAAAACTAGATGGAGAGAGACGCTGTGGAACTTGCCTTCGTTCAAACATTGATTACAGGTATCAGATTTGCAAATGAAGACCTGCTCTGGATAGGCCGCTACAGTGAACACCCCAATGACATCAAAAGCTAAGCACTGGACAATTATTAGCCTCATTTAGCACTGACAGACAAGATTTTTTGTCCTCCTTTCCCTCCACATTCCCTCTCTTTCTCTGCTATTTATTTGTACCCTAGACTCTTGCTCCATTCATCTGAAGAACTGGGTTTTGCTCACGAAAGCTCATGATATCAGCTACATTTTTTATTAGTCTCTAAAGGTGCTGCAGGACTCTTTTTTTTTTTTTTTTTCCAGGTACAGACTAACATACCCCTCTGAGACTACCAAGTCCTAGCATAGGCTGGGATTTCAGACTTTTATATAGTGACTACAGTTTATGAAAATAAAATAAATAAAAGCAATTCACCCATAGCCGAAAAGAATGGCCTTTTCATGTTACTATGTACTGCAAACACACACTTAGAAACCCTTACTAAATACTTTAATTGTGTACAGATCTTAATTCTTGACCCTCCTAGGTACGCCGCCGCCGCATCCCACTGTGGCCTCATCTGCAAGCACTCAACTGTATTGTAAGGAGGATGCGTCTATGCATTTTGCATTGAGATTTGGTTGCACTACAGTTTTAGGGCCACATTCCTACAGCTGGGATCTGAAAAGCCCTGAACTGCAGCACCTCAAAATCAACATGGAGACCTAGAACTCAACATTACTGTGGGCTAGGCTTCCACATCTCTGATTTTAGGGCTTGTTCCAAATTTGGTTCTAGATATGCCAGTGTAGTCCCCAGATGTAGGTGTTTGGGTTTTTTTTTTTTAAATTCAGGCCCCCCCCAGTGGTTTCCAAAGAGCCCAACAAACCAAATGGTAAAACGCAAATCCACCCCCAGCCACTAAAAAAAGGTTTGGCCCTTACCTACCTCACAGGATTGCTGTGAGGATTCAAAGCTTAACTTGCTAACAGTTAAACAAACAAAGGAATAGAAATACACGTGTCATTAACTACATGCAGAAAATGTTCATGGGCCCGATCGAATGCACATGGGCACCTTTCCATGCATGTCAGTGGGGCTTGGATCGGGCCCTCCATGAACAAATTCTCCATCTCAGCTTTCTAGCACATGCCCTCATCACCATGGCAGCTGGAGGCCCTGTCAGTTCTGCAGGCCCACGGGCTTCGTGGTCCAAGCTGCCTGCTTTGCTCTGAGGAACAGGCATGTCGCCGGTTACCTCCTTGCTCCGTTGTTCCACAGCTAAGTGCTCGAGCCAGGATTTGTATTCCAGCATGCCCCCTGCGGCACTGCGCACCAGCTGAGGCCTCAGCATCCGCCAGGGCAGTCCCAAGCGCAAAACCGACTCCACCGCCGTGGCCCAGTCGCTCAGTGTGATGGTTCCTGTGGGAAAGGGACACTCATGAAAGCCCCCTGCCATCACCCTCGGAAAGAATGGCCTTGCTTATTCCGTAATCCTGTTGGTGACATCACCACACCTCTTCCACAGGCACTGCCCGCAGAAAGCCTTATTTTATCCCCAACCTGGCCACCAAGGCCCAAGTTTTCCCACTTTTGCTTTATGCCCCTTGAAGCCCACTGCCAACCATCGCTGGGCAGCTGCTGTAGACGGGCAGCTCCGTTACACCAGGGAAAGCCACTTGGGGCTCTGTCCACGGCCTATTAGTTCATGAGGCCTTCTCTTTGCTTAATCTCACCAGTGTCATCCTGGTCGTAGCCCTTAAATGCACAGATGAGGTCTGATGTGTGGGCAAAGAGCTTCTCTCTGAGCGCGCGAAAGGCCGACTCCTCCACACGGCTGATCCTAGAACAAGCAGAAGAGACACAGACATTTAAACACACAATTCCTCCCAGGAGAGCAAGAGAGAGAGAGAGTCTCTGCCTCGACTTTCCATCTGGAACCATTCACACCTGCCCTGGACATGTCTCACACGGGCATCGTGCATTTATGGCAGGCAAGTTAAAACCAAACTGCCCCACGTCAGATCACACAAGATGCTCTGCCCTGTAGCTTTGGTGTAATTCATCCCCGCATGAATCACTGCATATGACCAGAGCTACAAGTTCCCTCGCCCCAATCCTGTACCTAGAAATCAGTTCAAGATCCTGCTCAAGTCAGTTTAGGAGCCTTGCTTGTCCTAGAACTAGACACATGTGTTATTCTTACTTCACAAAGGTCTGGGCTGTCCCCATTTGTTTCACATGTTCATCTTCTAAGGGGCTGGTCCCATCTGATCAGCTTCTTGAAGTGATTGAGTCAAACTTCCAGGTACAGTAGACTTCCGATAATCCGGAACTTATGGGATTTAGGTGGTGCCGGATTATCAGATATGACGGACTATCAGGAGGTACTATAAACTGGTTATATATATACTGTATACATTATATACTGTGTATAAAGTGTTCTTAACCCTTTTTATTGTACATACTGTATACAGTATACTGTAATGTTTTAGTTTTTTTAAGCCTTTTTTACCCTTTTTGCTCAGTTCAGCTGCTGCAGCCGTAAACTTGTGACTCATTTTTTGCCGAAGCTCACTCAGTAGGCTCTTGCCATTTTGATGCCGGATTATCAGGAGTGCCGGACTATTGGATGCTGGACTATTGGAGTTTTACTGTAGTTTGTAAATGGGAATAGTTATACTTTATACTGAAAAGGGGAGATTAGAAATGGACCCAAGAGTAAGAGTTTCAGGCCAGAATAGAGCTTTGTGATTTCCATCACACACAGAACCTCACCTAGTAATTCCTGTCCCAAGCATGTAATTTCTGGTGCTAAAGCAGCACACCTTTTAGAAAGACATCCTGTCTTGATTAATGAACATCCAAACTCTCTCAAAACATCAGCTCTTTTCCTATCTGGGGTTTTGGATTAATCAATCTGCATTCTGGTTTCATTCTAAAACAGAATTTGGTGATCTAAAGCAGTGTTTCACAACCAGGGGTACTCGAGAGAAGTCTGGGGGGGGGGGGTACATCAACCCCACTGAAATTTGGAGAAAACTGAATTTTTGTGTTAATTTTTACAGCGCTTTATTATTTTTGTACTTTTTGCACCCAAAAATTTCATTGCCCGCCTGGCTACAATTAAGTTGTTTAAATTAAGTTCCCATAATATAAGGACTAGAGGACACCAAATGAAATTAATGGGTAGCAGGTTTAAAACTAATAAGCGAAAGTTCTTCTTCACACAGCACATAGTCAACCTGTGGAACTCCTTGCCAGAGGAGGCTGTGAAGGCTAGAACTAGAACAGAGTTTAAAGAGAAGCTACATATATTCATGGAAATTAGGTCCATAAAAGGCTATTAGCCAGGGGGTAGGAATTGTGTCCTTGGCCTCTGTTTGTCAGAGGCTGGAGATGGATGGCACAAGACAAATCGCTTGATCATTGTCTTCGGTCCACCCCCTCCGGGGCACCTGGCATTGGCCACTGTCAGCAGACAGGCTACTGGGCTAGATGGACCTTTGGTCTGACCCCGTACGGCCATTCTTATGTAATAATGTGTTACAATGGTAGAAAAAAATTGTGTCTCTCTGAAAACTGTAGAAACTGGAGGTACTTAAAAAAAATTATAAGGGGTACTTTATAAAAAAAGGTTGTGAAACACTGATCTAAAGTGCATCTCATAATAGCATGGCTAATACTTTGTATTTCTATGCCATTTATAAAACTGAACTAGAAAGCCTTGCCTTTGTCTCATAGTTAATGTGTGGGCTGTCTTGTTAGCTTGATACTGCACAAAATGAGGGATCAGGTCCGGTCCCAGTTTCACATAGGCTCCTCTGTTACTGCCAACCTCATAATAGTTTGAAGCGGAAAAGATTGTCAGTACCTAAATGGGAAAAATGGGCAGGCATTTCTCGTCAGGTACAATACACACAGACAATTCACAGACCAGATCAAGGAGCAGTATAATTTGTTTGGAGAAAGGAAATTCTAGGAGAATGTTTGGGTAGGGAAGAATGAAAAGATGTATGTTCTCCAGGGGTACTGCCAGGTCACTAGCCATCATGCCCAGACTTCTGCTATTTTACCAAGTTCTTTTGGAAAAATTCTACTCCCAAATATACAACTCTGAATCCAGACCGAAGTGAAGTCACTCTGGATTTACCCTGGTGTGTCAGAGCAGAATTTGGTCCTGTAGCTGCTCATTCACATTGGCAGTTTTCAACCCTCGGCATCATCGCAAACGGTTTTGAATAAAACCCCTGTCTGGATACCCCATAGGTAATTATATAACGAAGGAGATAGTAAACTTAATTTACTAAGTACAGCAACGTACAATATACGGACACATGCCTGGTCTGCGCAGAGGCAGCATCTCTGGGATGGATCTGAGAGTAATTTTAAGATCCCCAGTCCAAAAACTGACTTACATGCTTTCTCCCTTATCAGTAACTCCAGGGTTACAATCCTATAGGCATTTTGTACAGCAGTTATCAACAAAAGCACCACGATATTCAGAGTTAAAGTAAAACTCAAAAGAAACCCAAAGGGGTAGTACAGAAACGTGCTCAAATACCCTTAACTCTGTCCCTCTGGCCCTGGCCTTTCCAGCTACCTTTCGATTGTGGCAGAACTCATAGCCTTCCTGCTTGCACTCATGAGAGCGAATCAGCAACTGCAGGCCGTGCTTCTGTAGAATCTTCTCCGTCACATCAGGCCCAAAGTAGCAGCCACCTCCGCGGACTGTATTCATTGTACAGCCCTCCTGAGGCACCGGGTCACTCCACAATATATCGACAATCTGAGAAATCAAACACACAGGACGACTCTCTGCAGAGGTTGCCGCGGCAACGTCAACATTTACCAGCACCTGACACACCAGAGCATCTGAGATTCCACAGGTATCCCTCCCTCGAAGCACCGGGCAGCCCTGTGAGGTCTCCACGGATTGGGCAGCCCAGCCTGCATGCACAGTCCGCAGGAGAAGATGGTGTTAGATGGCGGGAGGACAGGATCCCGGTGCTGTCCCAGGCGGCCAAACTCACCTGCTTCCACTCTTCTTGGCGAGAGTGGCTGGTTCCACAGGACTCCAGCTCCGACTCGGACATGGTGACAGAGCTGACGCAGGTGAGCTCCTTGTCCACCGGGGTCTCACCAAACCCCACCTGTCTGCGGCACTTCTCCAGCTCCTCTTGGACTGTCTGCCGGACCCACTGGGAAAGCTCTGTTCTGCTAGCGCTGGGATGGAGGCACGAGCCAGGGAACGAACTGCACTTCGGAGAGTCGACACCCTCAGGGCTCTCGCTGTTCATCGCTGCGGAGTCCACGTGTCTACACTTCTCTTCTCTCTTTTTGCCCCTTAGTACAGAAACGAACTGAAAGAAAGAAAAAAAAAGACAGAGGGGTGGGGGTCTGGACACGAGGTTGGAGGGCAATTCCCACCTTGGCTCCAACACAAACTCGACCCTTGTGGCCTTGGCCAAGCCACGCAGCACTTCTTGCCAAAGTTTCCCCTTTGTTAAATGGGGATTAATCACACTGCCTTACTGGCCCAGGTGTTGTAGAGCCCTGTGCAAAGCAGGAGATAACCCAGCTAGCGCCGCTGGGAAAGGAGGGTCTAGCGGAGAGAGGACCCCTCAAGCTGGGGTCTAAACGGCAAAAGCCAGTCTCTGTTTTTATCCTCCCTGGCCAGGATATCACACAGAAACCTGCTCTCGCCCGCACAAGCCAGCGGCACATCCACCAAGGAGACGTACCTTGTGCCTTTCGATTTGGCCCAGCAGCTCCAGGTCAGTCATGTCAGACACGCCACCGTGTAAAATCAGGACTTTCTGATCGATTAAGGTGCCCAGCGGCAGCCAGCAGAAGACATTCTGGAGCATCTTCAGAATTTTCTTCCCATGCACCTAGGAGGATGAGGGATGGAAGGGAGGAGGTGACTTGGCAGGAAGTGTCTGTCAGACACAGGAGAGGAGGCGCAAGATTTCAGAGCAACCCTACCTTGTATTTTTGCATGACCTCCTTGGTGAAACCATAGCTAGATGGAAGCCGAGGAGAGAATTTTAGGCAGCAGTTTAGTAACAAGCACGTTGCATTCCAATAGCCCAGCGGGTTGGGGAACCTTTGGGGTCGGGGACCGCTGAACTCGCAGAAAAATCAGTCGGGGGGCCACACACAAGCAAAAAGCAAAAAGAACAAGCCCTCAGTGATGTGGCCCCTGACTAAAAAGGAGAAAGCCACTTCCCACATCTCCTTTGCATGCCAGAGTCTAGGGGGGCCCAGCCAAATAGATTTTGTGTGCTCCTGCCCCACGGGGGCCGGATCCAGGAAAGCCCGGGGGCCTTAGGTTCTCCACCCCTGCAATAGCCCGTGCGTTCCACACTCATACCGTAAGTTGACCATGTGGTCCTCGTGGTTTCCTCGGTTCAGGTGAACTTCCTTTGGGTACACCAAGAGGAAGGCAAACAGAATGATCAAGATCTCAATGGACTGTTTGCCTCGGTCCACAAAGTCCCCGTTGAACACATAGGACTTCTCCGGAGACGGAAGGCCATTCTACATAAACAAGGAACATAGTCAAACGCGACAGGGCAAGATGGGAACAGTCGGCAAATCTCTCCCCGCTGTATTCTCTCCACTGCCACCTGTACGTATATCTGCCTTCCAGCTCCCTGAGTCTCATAAGAACGGCCGTACTGGGTCATACCAAAGGTCCTTCTAGCCCAGTAGCCTGTCTGCCGACAGTGGCCAACACCAGGTGCCCCAGAGAGGGTGGACCGAAGACAATGATCAAGCAATTTGTCTCCTACCATCCTTCTCCAGCCTCTGAGAAACAGAGGCCAGGGACACCATTTTATCCCCTGGCTAATAGCCTTTTATGGACCTAACCTCCATGAAATTATCTAGCTTCTCTTTAAACTCTGTTATAGTCTCAGCATCTTGATCACCCACATCAGCAACTGAAAAGAACTAACGTTGCCTTCTAGCCATTGTGCCTTAGGGTGATGTTAACTGCAGACATTGGCTACAAACACACGGTAAAACAACAGCCAGGTGTTGTCTTTTAGCTGTTAAAAATGGACTGCTAGCATCTGGAAAAAACTACAGCTAGAACAATAACCAATGTGAAGACAAGGTCTTGCAAAGCACAGCCATTTCCAAACCAACTGAGCGGAATGTGAGAAGCCGGTTTAAGAGCTCGATCCTGGAGAATACTCCCCACTTCCTGGCTCCCATGAGGAATGGCCGTAGGATGGGCCAGCATCGCTCCGGGGCAAAGCACAGGACATACCTTGTAAAATATCAGAAATAAGTCATCCAGCCGGCCATGCAAGTCTCCTAAGACGTGAAAAGATATTCAGTTCAGGGTGGGCTTTTCCCCTTCCCCACCTTCAACATAAAGCAAAGCACTGTGGAACAACTGCAGTCTTCATACCATCCTTGTCGGGGAATGGGACGGGACACAAACAGGCCTGTGCAAACAGGTGCGGTTCCTCAGTGCAGCTGCGCCCACTTACACTGAGGCCACATCTCCACTTGCTGGAGGATCAGCACTCTGGCATCGATCCTCTGGGGTTTGACTCAGAGGGTCTAGGAAAGACCTGCTAAATCAAATGCTGAAAGTGTCCCCATTGGCACTGGTACTCCTCGTTGTCACAAGGTGTAAGGGAAGTAGATGGGAGAATTTCTCCCATCGACCTCCTGCTGTGGGGCCACCCTCGAAAATTGGTGCAAGGTCTGTCCAGACTAGCCACAGAATTCTCATAGCTGGAGATGCGTCTCTTGCATCAATTTTCCTGCCTTTAGTTACTTTTACAGATGCTAATGGCAAAACTAGATCTATTAAATAAAACAGCGGGGATTGCTCATCCTTCTTAATGATTAACTGGGTTTTGGGGTTTGGATTCTCCTCAACTGCCCTCATGAGCATTATGGGATGCTTTTATCAAAATGCATCCTCCCCCACCCCTCCTTTCTACAACTTCTACTGTTACAGCAGAGCTATAGAAGCCTAGCTACTACTTTCATTGGACTCACTGACCAAAATATCCATGCACGGCCCAGCCTCAGGGCAGCTGTGTTTATATACTGACAGAACGAGGAGCAATGGTCTCAAGTTGCAGTGGGGGAGGTTTAGGTTGGATATTAGGAAAAACTTGTTTCACTAGGAGGGTGGTGAAGCACTGGGATGAGTTCCCTAGGCAGCTAGTGGAATCTCCATCCCTAGAGGTGTTTAAGACCCAGCTTGACAAAGCCCTGGCTGGGTTGATTTAGTTGGGATTGATCCTGATTTGAGCAGGGGGTTGGACTAGATGCCTCCTGAGATCTCTTCCAATCCTAATCTCTGATTCTATGTACCAGCGACTGAAC